CATTGAGAACCCCTTAGAAGAATGGTTTTCAAACATGTTTGGTAAATGGAAAACATTAGTAATCTCTCTGTTAGTGTCTGTGGCTACATTTTTAGGGATCATGGTGGTCTGTGGCTGTTGCTGTGTGCCCTGCTCTCATTCACTGGCGGTCAGATTCATCACCTCTACAATCGAGAAAGGTGGCAGTGAGCGCCCTCCTGCTTACCAAATGTACAGCCAGGGACGAGACATGGAACTATCCTTAGTGGCCATCGCACCACTACTGGAAGAGGCTGACTGTTCCCGCCAGCTTTAAAGTTGCCTGTTTTGCTAAAATGCGACATTGTGTTTTTACCAAGAAAGATGAGGGAAAGTTTCTTTTTTTGTACAGGTGAGGTCGGGGTCAGAAATGACCACCGTCACAGAGGCGTGAGGTGATGTCCTGCTTTCCTCCTTAAAATGAACAGCTGCCTCAGTGGGGTTTCTAGGACATGCAGACCTACACCTATTCAGGGATGGATAGGTAGGAGTAATGGTCTCTTTCAGAGACCAAAAGGGGGAAAATGTAAAGAAGCTCTTATCTGCTGTGCTGTATTGCTCGATGTATCACAACTGGATCTTGTCCTTTGTATATGCTTGGATTTTGGATTTGCTTGCCTTTTGGTATCAACAAGTACAGAGTGAACTAAGTCAGAGAATGCATTTAAGTTTTCTGTGTACGGGACATGAACAAACAGGGAGCTGCTGGTGTGTATGTCCCACCTGATGACAAGATCACCAAGTAAACTGGAACGGCAGAAGAAAATAATAAAACAACTCTATAAAAGGACTTCCAGGAAATGAAGACATCAGTTTGAACTAGTTTAGACAAAGAACTTAAGAATGTGTGACACATCTCTGGGTGGAGCTTTTGTGTTTAAATACAAGAGATGCTGAAGCTCCAGTCAGACGTGTCTTGGGTTTTTGCTGTGTCTCTGTTGGTTTGGGGTAAGAGCATCTCTTTCCAGCTGAAAGCTTTAATAAATGTTGGTAATACTTTTTAACTTGAATCTCTTTGACTGATTATTGTGTCTTTTCGCCATGTATCTCCGAACCAATGAGAGGAACAGGTGAATATGCTGAAAAGTCTGAGTTGTTGTGTTAATTTTCCTCAACCTAAAAAAGTTCAATCTGGTCCTCTGGACATTCAAAAAAACAAAACGAAGCAAAACAACAAAAAAATGTAGAAACTTTTCGTCTCTCATCCGAGATACTTCCTCAGTCTGAGGTGCTGTATTCAGCTCAGTCTCTTAAATAGCACCTTCTCAGAGTGGATCAACCAGTTTTGCTGCTTACAACCAAAACCAGCTGATCACATGCTCAAGAAGGACCATCAGCCTAACAATGGATCATTAGCACACTAATGGCTGTTTACTATTAACAGAGGGCTGAGTGATACTAGCAATCACAGCATTGTAAGAGGAGGACAGTTGAACACGTAGGCCTCCACCCCTGTTTAACGATGGACGATTTCTTTTCACAAAGATGGCCTCCTTTACTCCTCTCTCAAACCATCGTTCCTCTCTATCCAGGATGTGAACATCTTCATCCCTGAAAGAGTGACCGCTGGCCTGGAGATGAGTGTAGACTGCAGAGTCCTGGCCTGATGATGTTGATCTTCTGTGCTGGGCCATCCTTTTGGCCAGTGGCTGTTTAGTTTCCCCAATGTAAGACTGATCACAGCCCTCCTGACACTGAACAGCATACACAACATTACTCTGTTTGTGCCGGGGGACTGGATCAAGTTCACACGAGAAGATGAAAAAAATGGCAAGTTGGCAAGGGGGACAATTGAACACGTAGGCCTCCACCCCTGTTTAACGATGGACGATTTCTCTTCACAAAGATGGCCTCCACAGCACGGTGGCGCAACTGGTAGAGCTGCTGCCTCTCAGCGAACAGGTCCCTGGTTCAAACCCCGGTCCAGGGGCCTTCTGGGTGGAGTTTGCATGTTCTCTCCGTGCATGCGTGGGTTTTCTCCGGGTACTCCGGTTTCCTCCCACAGACCAAAAACATGCATGTTGGGCTGACTGGTAACTCTAAATTGTCCCTAGGTGTGAGTGAGAGAGTGAATGGTTGTTTGTCTCGTTTGTCTCTATGTGTCCCTGTAATGGACTTGCGACCCGTCCAGGGTGTACCCCGCCCCTCGCACAGTGATTGCTGGACATGGGCACCAGCAACACCCGTGACCCAAAATGGAATAAACGGGTAAAGATAATGGATGGATGGATGGAAGATGGCCTCCTTTACTCCTCTCTCAAACCATCATTCCTCTCTATCCAGGATGTGCACATCTTCATCCCTGAAAGAGTGACCGCTGGCCTGGAGATGAGTGTAGACCGCAGAGTCCTGGCTTGATGATGTTGATCTTCTGTGCTGGGCCATCCTTTTGGCCAGTGGCTGTTTAGTTTCCCCGATGTAAGACTGATCACAGCCCTCCTGACACTGAACAGCATACACAACATTACTCTTTGTGTGCTGGGGGACTGATCTTTGGGATGAACCAGTAATGTATTTTGGGGTTTAAAAGCCACTGGGACATTATGTTTAGAAAATAAACGTCTCAGTTTCTCTGATACTCCCTCAACATATGGAATGACCACTGGTCTGGGTTCCTCCTTTTCACCTGTTGGCTGACTGGAGTCCTGTTTGGGTTTCTTGTCTGCTTTTAGGAAGGCCCAGTTAGGATATCCACATTGCTCTAGAGCCTGTCTTGTGTGGGATTTCTCCTTCTGCCTGGCTCCTGAGCTAGTGGGGATGCTGTCTGCTCTGTGATACAGAGTCCTGATGACTCCTAACTTGTGCTCGAAAGGGTGATGGGAGTCAAACTGCAAATACTGGTCTGTGTGGGTGGGTTTGCGGTACACCTCAGTTTGCAAATGTCCTCTATCAGAGACTGAGACCTCACAGTCCAAGAAAGCCAACTTGCCATTTTTTTCATCTTCTCGTGTGAACTTGATCCAGTCTCCCGGCACAAACAGAGTAATGTTGTGTATGCTGTTCAGTGTCAGGAGGGCTGTGATCAGTCTTACATTGGGGAAACTAAACAGCCACTGGCCAAATGGATGGCCCAGCACAGAAGATCAACATCATCAGGCCAGGACTCTGCGGTCTACACTCATCTCCAGGCCAGCGGTCACTCTTTCAGGGATGAAGATGTGCACATCCTGGATAGAGAGGAACGATGGTTTGAGAGAGGAGTAAAGGAGGCCATCTTTGTGAAAAGAAATCGTCCATCGTTAAACAGGGGTGGAGGCCTACGTGTTCAACTGTCCTCCTCTTACAATGCTGTGATTGCTAGTATCACTCAGCCCTCTGTTAATAGTAAACAGCCATTAGTGTGCTAATGATCCATTGTTAGGCTGATGGTCCTTCTTGAGCATGTGATCAGCTGGTTTTGGTTGTAAGCAGCAAAACTGGTTGATCCACTCTGAGAAGGTGCTATTTAAGAGACTGAGCTGAAAACAGCACCTCAGACTGAGGAAGTCTCTCGGATGAGAGACGAAACGTTTCTACATTTTTTTTGTTGTTTTGCTTTGTTTTGTTTTTTTGAATGTCCAGAGGACCAGATTTAACTTTTTTAGATTTTTCTACCTGGATTATTGAGCATGCGTCAGGAAATTTTCCTCAACATTAACAACCTGTTAAAATACACCAGAATGGAGGAAATGGCATCTACTTTATTAAAAATACTTTATTAAAAATTTTCGGCGGAAGGACCCCCTGACCCTTCAAACAGTGTGTTCCCCCATCCACATTAAAAATGCTTCTGACGCCAATTGTCACTGAGATGTTCAAGCCGAGAGCCGTTGTCAGCACTGGGGCTAAGCAGCCTTAAAGGGCAGATTCTAGAATTGCCCCTGATGTAAGCTTATAATTACATGATTTCAGTAATAATAGGTTGTGTTCTAAAGTGGGCCACTCTGAGGCTGAAACTCCAGGGCTGAAAATGAGTCCCACTCTGGTCCTGAATAGTCTATCACTTCATCCAGATTTTTCCAAAATGTATCTTTCTACATTCCTTTTCTGCATCATGTCATCCATCTCTCTACCTTTGCCTGTCATTGTCCTCACATCTAGAGTTGCAATCCTCAGTCCTACAGTCTTGACTTTTCTCTTCTCCCTCCGTCTCCTGACACGTTTCCCACCTTGTGGTCTTAGACTAACAGTGGCATAGTTTCAGCCTGCACCCTGTTTGTCAACAGCAACAGTGGTGGTTGTTGTTTACCCGGGCCTGGACTGATGGTTTCTCAGACGAACTTGCATATTTGTATTGCAAATTTGTTTTATGTCAGATTCCCTTCTTGACACAGCCCTCTCCATTTACCCGAACTTGGAACCTGCACAAGAAACCTTTTGGCTTGTGCTCACTAGTGGCTGGTTTATTTTAATGAGCGGGTTGACTTAATACCAAAATTCAGGCAAATTTTTTTTACTGTGTAGCCCTCAGTGTGTGTGATGGGAATCAGTCTTAGCTACTTCAACACCAGATTTTAGACTAATATCTGTAAAACTGACTTAGTTATACCTATTTTTGTGTTGGCTTATGCCATTTAGCTGTGGTGGCCATTTTTATAAGGGTGAGTCTAAATGGTAAGCAGGTGTAGTTGTATATTCAATGATTACTTTCTGAGATTTGGGTAATTTGCTAACAGACAGGCAATTGTGAACACAAAAATGAATGCCAACAATTTGTGCAAAAACATGGTGCAGTGTCAGTGCAAAAAGTTTGTGTTTGGGATTGTTCTCAGCTACGTTCACATCAGATTTTACAATAATGTCTGTAAGACTGACTGAATTTTTAGGTTTTTAAGATCAGTGGGCTGTGGCGGCCATCTTGAATGAAGTTGACTCCAAATGTTACTCAGTTGTAGATGTTCATGCAATTAATAATCTCTACAAGTTTCATTGAACTTTGTTCAGTGGACCATGAGATATTTTACTGTCTTTTAGGAGCAGTTAATTAAAAAAAACATTCTTACCTCTGGTCCAATGTTTCCTTCATCTCCAGGGGTTCCTGGTTTTCCTGGAGGACCCTGTCAAACATATTTATAATTGATAATAACACAACATGCACTGGAAAACAATGCATGAACACAACTGAATGAAAGTTTAAAATATAAAATAATATGGCAAATACATACAGGAGGTCCTTCACTTGCTGGGCCCTGCCATAAGAAAAAATCAAAGAGAACATGTAAATCTAAGAATTTTTATGTTTTCACACGTTCATTTGTCCACGTTTTCCACTCACAGGAGGACCTGGAGGTCCAGGGAAGCCAGGAAGTCCCTGAAATCAGACAAAGTGAAGAAATCTAAATGTTTCTAATAATGACAAAGAACAAAAGAAATAAAAAAGATGACCTAAAAAAGAAAATCTTTTTCTTCTTGCTGGATGATTTTGAAGTGAAAAAACTGCTGACTCACTCTTTCTCCTACAGGCCCTCTGGGACCCATCGGACCAGAAGGACCCTGCAGAGAGCAAGCACAGTCAAATCAATATCATAGTTTTGTCCACTACACTATAACACAGTCTCACACTCTTGATCTGGTTGTTACACACATCCATGTACTTGTTTCTGAAATGAAGTGTACAACAACTTGGTTCTGGACAGACAAACACACACAAAATTTAGTGTCAGGTTTTAGTTCTCACAGAAGGTCCTGGAAGACCAGACAGGCCTCTCTGTCCAGGAAGACCGATCTCCCCCTTCTCTCCTTTGCTGCCCTAGAAAACAGAATCAAGAATAAATTGGCTTTATTCACTTCCTGCATCTTTGTAAGAAACACCGAGACATTGCCTGTCCATGCAAAGCTGTACACCCGGAAAAAGGTGGGAATGAATGAAATGGATGTTGATTGGGATGGCATAAAGTAACAATGATGATAACAATCAGAGTGAATACAGCTTTTCATTAGATCGAGATCAATCAGATTGAATTTGATTACACCATCAGATCTTTCTGTACTTGTTTGTATGGTGCCCTGGAGGATTTCCATTGTGAATTAGTATGATATAAATAAATTAAAGTTGAATGAACTGGCCTGACTTGAATGAGTGAGATGAAAACAGGTTGTAATAAGGGATGAACAAGGATGAGTAGGAAATAAGGAGGAGGAATAAGGTAAGATGAATGGATAATAGATGAGGGTGAGGAAAAGTATGTTGAGCATGAGACAAACTGTGCTGAAGGCTGAAGCCTTGTCCAAACAAGAACATTACTTTTTTTTCTTCTGTTTTTTTTTTTTGTTTGTTTTGTTTTGTTTTTAAAAATATGTTCTGGTAAACACATCACTGCTCATACAAATATTATATCCACGTTGAAAAGCAGAAAAATTCTCAAAATACAGGGGATCCGTACCCTGAAGACCCACCATAAGTAAAAAAACGCGAATAAGGAGTAGTAGTACAAGCAGTACGTAGTAGGAAACTACCAGGCCTGTATGTGGTGCTGTAATGCAGCCAACAATAACCACACACCATACAGGAAACAAGGCATGTAGCATGTGTGTAAAGCTAATACCATGGGTAGAACCCATGGACTATAAGGAAAAAAAGAAGTTAAGACAAGGATTTTGAACACAAGGAGAAAAAGCTTAATAAAATATTTTTTGTGGAGTGATGATGAAGTGGAACTTTTGCTTATTATTTCCTTGACTTTTGACACAACGTGATCTGATTTAGTATTTCATTGTTTCTAATTGTTTTTGGTTTTATATTTTTATTCCATGTGCTGTAAATATATCTTGCTA